TAATTATCTTCAATCTAGCCGTTGAAAATCAAGAGATTGATTTTTCCTTACTAACGGGTAGAATTTCTTCATTCAAGACTTAGATAATTATCTAAGTCCTTTCTCACTTGTCCGTTTTCTGAGAATTCCGGTCTTCCTTGAGGCATCCGGTTCTTCGCTGACAAATCCGGAGAAGTCATTCTCAGACTTCCGGGTGAGAAGGAGATCCGAGCTAGTCTTCCGATTTGAATGACTTAGCTTTCAACGGGTTGTAGTGAGACATCCGGTTCTTATGTGGTCTTCCGGATCTGAGGATTCTGATTGAGAAACCCTTACTTGTCTCTGACACTTCCGATCAAGATATCCAATTTTCATATCACTGAATTTGATCAAGTCTTCAGGCATCAAAACGCTTAAAGAAATATCACAGTTTTATTGGAAATCTCAAGAGCTTGGTTTTGACAATATTTCTTAAAAAGAAAAATTACATTGAATATTGTGGGAGGCTTAAAGTCCCTAATACATTCTAAATACATCATCATCAAAATCTATAATATTTTTCCCAATAAGACCGGAGGTGATCGCCGCTGCTCCAGCAATAGTCCGACCCTGCCGATTCGCCGCTCCACCGGACCGGCGCCGCCACTTCTGTTAAATAGAGAACAACCTATCGTCGTCGTTTTCTACGCCGGTGATCTGATTCGTTTGATTTGTTTTGTTTAATTCGCCAATCAATCAAGGTCAGAATGTGGACATCTAACGCTAGATTTTGTATATAGATTTGAAATTCACGTTCGTAGTTTCGTATGTTTGATTATGTGGTTATTTGATTATAATTAATTTATGATTTAGTTATATTATATATTGTTATTGGAATTGATTGAACGAGGTTGATCAGGTATGTTTTCTTACTTAAAATTGGTGTGATTTGCATGATAATAATCTTTAAAAACATAATACGTATTGAATGATTTGGAATTTGGTTGATCTTGTATGTTGCATGACGGTAAGTGAACGGTGTTTACACCGAACACTAGGTTGCCATTTGGATTGCACGATGATCTATTTAGCTATTTCTATTCTCTTGATTTATTGTAATTATAATGTTGATATGTCTTGTACGCATAAAGTAAACTGAATTTATTGTTAGCTTGGATCTGATTAGTTGAAGTAAGTTAATGAGATAGGTTACCCAGAAGTACTCTAGGGCTACTTTGTGAGAATTGAGATTGTGAGATGACAATAGGTTTAGAGCCTTGTGGACTTAATGTCCAATGGTATTTGGGTAAAGATGTACGTACATGGAATCTGGGATCTGATCCGTATGTTGGAGGTTCCACCCAACCGGCACCGTAGGTATCGGGTTGACCAAAATCATGGCCGTAGGTAGTGATTCTGATGTCATAGAATAGACTTGAGTCATGGCCGTAGGTAGTGGCTCTAAGTCTTAAGATAAGATGTGGATAATGAGGAATATGCCTTAGCGTAAAATAGGTTATGAGCTAGTGTTGGATATGAGCTATTGTGATAACTTGAATACTATGATAATAACATGTGCAGGTGAAGAGCCAAGGTAAAAGTAATCTGAAGTATGCTTGTTATAACGTAGTTGATGTATCTGATGTAGCTACACTTCTAGAATTATGTATTATTATTAACCATGTTATATTCAAAATTTTGTTGTCATTTGATATTTTAAACTAAACAAATTGCCCTAAATAGGAGTAAAATATATGAAAAGTACCAAAATAAATTTTTCATATTTTTATCCCAAAATAAGAGCTTCCACTATGTTAATGTGACACTGTGCATGGATATTTCACATTTTTTAAATATATTGTACATTGACATGATTAACATTGTAATTATATATTTTAACTTCTATTTTGAAAATAAAAGTATGAAACTTCTATTTTGATATACTTTTTATGTTTTAATCTTATTTTAGTCTTGGTCCCTTTAAACTATAAATATATGATTATCAAGAATTACAATAACTGCATAAACGATCTCTAATTACAGACGGTTTTCTATATTTAGTCCTCAATACTAAGAAATACATAAATTATCCTTAATTTGAAAACTACTCTCTGTACCATAATCTGTCATTCATGGACTATATGTGGAAAAAAATATTTCGTCATATTTGTCTTAAATATCGATTTATGGAATTATTTTAAAAAATTGAGGATCATTTATATAATATCCTAGAATTGGAAACAAAATATGAAAAACCATCTATAATTAAGGACCATTTACTGAATTTACTTTTAAGATTATATTTTTACTTCTCTCTTTGTACTATAATATTATTTATCTATTAAAATAATAATCATTATCATATTGAATATTGGTGTGTTAGTCAAGAATCTCATTTTTAAATGTTATATAGCTAGTGATGTTAAAAAAGTAAAGTATAGAATAACTAAAATCATACTAAAAAGGAATTCCTAAATCGTCGGGTTTAAATTACTTAAATTACATAAGGCGAGATTTATTAAAATTATCGAGTAAAAATTATGAAAATTACATAACGCAAGAAATTATATATAAATTTATTTTTTTCTAACCTGGTAAACTGTAAAATTAGCTTTACGTAAGGCAAAAACTCAGGTTTAATCATAGTTAAAACTTATATTTTAATTAAACTATCATCGTATATGTAAATTAGCTTTAATTATGGGAGAAATATAAAATTTTAATACGGTGACTAGGACAAAAAATTTATAATGTATAATTGTTTTTTACTAAAGTCATAAAATGAGTAATTATGACTAATTAAAATGTAACAACAAAAAGTAATTACCAGTACACACTCTAAGAATTACATGGCATATTGACGTGTCAAAAATGGCCAAGTGTGTTGTCCACTTGTCGAATTCTCATGAAACAAGTCTCAAATATTATAGTAAAAAATTCTAAAAACTTGTTATAAATAAAAATAAAAATATAGAACTTGGAAAGAATATGATAATAAAAAGGAATATTTTTCCCATATTTTTATTTACTCAAACATTTCTTACCAAAATTTTAATTTTATATTCTCGATATAAAAAATTATGTGACATATTAGGCGTTAAAAAAGGCAACACAAAAATAATTTTCTTTTCTTTTTATTTAATTCATAAATTAGGTTGCATAAAAATGACACATGTCAACTCTTACTAATGCCACATTTCAAGTTCAGTAATGAACTTCTTGACCCAAACAGCTTCTTTAATTGCCTCGGCGGCATCTATGTACTCAGCCTCTGTAGTTGAATCAGCGATTGTGTCTTCCTTGAAGCTCTTCAAGCTAAAAGCTCCGCCATTCAGGCAAAACAAATATCCTGCTTGTGATTTTGAGTCGTCTCTGTCGGTTTGGAAGCTAACATCAGTGTAACTGACAACCTTTAGCTCTTCCTCACCACCGTATACCATGAATGCATCCTTAGTATTGCGAAGATACTTGAGGATGTTCTTGACCATTGTCCAGTGTGCTTCTCCTGGACTTCCCTGGTATCTGCTGGTCACGCTTAAAACGAATGAGACATCAGGTCTAGTACATATCATGGCGTACATGATGGATCCAATCGTAGAAGCGTATGGAACCTTCATCATGAGTTCATTCTGCTCGGGAGTATGACTCTGGCTCTTGGAAAGAACCATGTCAGGTGTTATAGGTAAAGATCCTTTCTTTGCGTTAGACATGCTAAATCGATCAAGGATTTTATCTATATATGTACTTTGATTCAGACTTATTATTTTTCTTGATCTATCTCGGTAGATTCTTATGCCAAGGACATAGCTAGCATCCCCTAAGTCTTTCATGGAGAAGTTCTCGCTCAACCACGTCTTTACAGAAGTGAGAGCGAGAATATCGTTACCATTAACAATATGTCATCGACATATAAGATTAGGAATACTATTACACTCCCGCTTACCTTCTTGTAAACACAAGATTTATCAGAGTTCTTCTCGAAACTAAAACTGGAAATGGTTTTGTCGAAGTGTATATACCAACTCCGAGATGCTTGTTTCAATCCGTAGATTGAACGTTGCAGCTTACAAACTTTGGCAGACTGACCAACAATTTGAAAACCGTCAGGCTGTGTCATGAAGACATCCTCTTTGAGGTTCCCGTTAAGGAAAGCCGTCTTGGCGTCCATCTGCCAAATTTCGAAATCGTAATAGGCTGCAATCGCAAGCATTATCCGAATGGATTTCAGCATAACAACTGGAGAAAAAGTTTCATCATAGTCAATTCCGTGGATTTGCCTATAACCTTTTGCTACCAATCGAGCTTTGAAGGTGTGAACCTTCCCGTCTACGTCTGTCTTCTTTTTGAAGACCCACTTGCATCCAATGGGTTTTACCCCTTCGGGTGCATGAACCAAGGTCCAGACTTGGTTTGTGTACATAGACTCATTTTAGATTTCATGGCTTCGAGCAATAGATCGAATTCGGGGCATGTAATTGCCTCGAGGTAGGTCTCTGGTTCGCCTTGCTCTACCTTCATCAGACATGAGAAATCCATATCTGACCGGAGGATTACGTATCTGGTCTGACCTACGTGGTATATCTTGACCAATTCCACATGTCAGCTTATTAGAGTTTGGAGTCTTAAATTTATGAATAATGCTTTGCCTTCTCCTATAAATATCCCGATATAAAGTCTAGCAAACCCTAATTCTTTTGGCCGATTTCTCTTCCACACTGCCGCGATCCACCTTGCAGCTTATCTCCTTCTTTCATCGTGCACCCATTCCCTTTCACTCTTCCAATTCCAGAGCCAATCGGGTCATTTTTTTTCGCTGAATGGACTGTGGCCTCTTCGAGTGCACCACCGCCTCCTCATCTCCCCCCAAGCCCCGTAGCCCAACCCTAATTTTTTCTGCGCCGATCGGAGATGAAGAAAGAAGATACAGTGGAGCTAATCAGCGCCGAGGGTTTCGAATTCGTGATCGATAAGGAGGCGGCTATGGTTTCTCAGACCGTCCGTAACATGCTTACTTCTCTTGGTGGTTTCACCGAGACAGAGCACCGAGAAGTGACTTTTCTTGAGATTAGTACCACCATCCCCGAGAAGATATGCCAGTACTTCTATTAGCACTTTCAATTCACAAGGGGGAAGGAGACCGAGTTTCCTATAGAACCCGAACTCACATTGGAATTGATGATGGCAACTAATTATTTGCACACCGGAAAACTCTGTTAGCAACCTAACAGGGATGGTTTCATAGAGCACCCATCTTTAACGCCATCCAGGTTCTATATTTTCTACCTCTTTTATGTTTATTGCCTGCATAATTGAAATCCTTACTCATAGTAAATTAACTATTTTTTTCATAAGCTACAAAGATTTAATCTAAATAGGACATTTAAATGCTATGTCTTGTTCTTACATAACCTGTTTGGGATTTCGATTTTCTTACTTGAAATGTTAGATTGCTACATGTTCCCTATTTCAACATAAAGTTATCATTATAGTTTTGAACAATATCATGTTGTGCCAATTTATATATACTTCGTATAAAATATCATTCCTTATGATGGCGGCCTAGAGTAGATCATTGGGTAGCTAGAATTGTGAAATAATTTACAGTTCATTATTAGAACTGTTAAAAAAGACTTCTAAAGACCCTTGTTCCTAGATAGCCACTATATTGGAAGAGTTTTCTTCTTAAAAGGTTTGCTTATTGCAAGTCTTTGCTCCAAGTTAGAACTCTTGCCGATAATGACACGAGTTATCTTTTCCCTAAATAAGTGTAGTTTCATGCTGGATTGGGATCAATAAAATTTATATTTGGGAAATGGTAGTTCTCTTGTAACCTCCTGTATTGGCCGATTTATAATTTGTGAGTTGTATGAAACCCGGTCTGTCTGCAGAATCACACACTTGTAGATTTCTTTGCTTAGCCTGGTCACTAATTTATCTGCCTTTCTTTTGTATTTGTCCTGGTGAATGGAGTACAACAACAAACTGATGTTTATGATTTCTTTTTGAGTCAATTCGACTTCATGCTCTTTTACTTAGTAGAACCATTATGATTTTTGCAGGCTGTTTGACATCTTCTTGGCAGGGGAATGAAGATCTCATTATAGTTCACGATCCTCTAGAATTTGGAAATTGTCGATCATCTCAAATTGGGAGTAACAATGAGCTCTTTATAGCAAAACATTCAAATTGTGTCATGTTATGTGCATTCCTGTCACCATTAGTATTCTTCCAATAATAATGACGTGCGACTGGAAATACATGTGCGTATCTGCAGATACCAAAGGATGTAATATTCGAGAATGTGAACTCATTGAAGGATCTAGCAGAAATGCCACATTGGACACCTGAGAGACCCTTGAGAGTAGCTACGGGTTTCACATATGCATGGTGTACTGCAATGTGACATATTCATCTTCTTTTTCCCACATACAGAGTATATATTATTGTGGTCACAATTATTATGTTCAAGTTTGATGATATTTTTCCCTTAACATCCTTCATTTCTTTCACAGATGGGGCCCAAGGTTATGAATGAAAAAGGACTAAATCATGTTACCTTTTCAACTCCAGATAGAGCACTGAAGGCTACTCCAGCAGTAAGACCAAATTTACCTATTTTAAACAGATTCAGTTTTCTCAAGTCCCGTCTTATTGAGATTGACTGTTAGTTTTCTTAAGTCCAGTCTCATTAAGATTGACTGTTTGTATTGTACTACGTATATAGATGAAATACTTCTTCTCTTTTTCACAAATCGATTACTGTTCTTGATGTTAAGATTCGCCTGAGAGCCATGTTTGTTTTTCCTATATTTGTTGCATAAAAGAAATATGTCCTTCTATTTTAGATGTTATGGTTTGCTCTTTGAAATTTTATCACATCTGTTCTTTTCCAGCATTTCTTTTGGTGATCTTCAAATACAATCGCACTTTCAATTTCTTTTGAGTATGTAAAAGTTTTTTTTAACCTATCATGGTTCCCTAATGTATGGGACAACACTGGGTAGGTTGTAGTTGCTGTTATCATTTCCTCATTTCTTCCTAATATAGATGAGGATAGTCGATGCAATTGTAGACCTTGTGAGCACTGGAACAACTTTGGGAGAGAACAATCTGAAAGAGATTGCAGGTGGAGTCATCCTGCAAATTCAGGTAATTTTTCAGCCTCTAATGCTAATGGGTTTGTGTGTTCTACTAATGTCAATGTGGAGTGTTTATTACTCAAAAAGTTATTGATTGAGACTAAATTTACTAGGGAAAGAAAAGGTTTTGAAAAATATGTATACACTATCGTTAATATTTCATGTGTGTGAATGTTAGAAATAGATATTCATAGGCCATCACGTTTGGGTAACAAATGTTCCTGACTATCATTTGCAAAACCCTTTAAGTATACATAATACATTATATAGTGCAATGGCCCTTTGACCTCATTAGTTTCCAAAGATTATTGCCCCCATTATAAAACACTAGAACAGTCGTCATAAAATATTAATAGTGTCATTTTGTTTGAGGAAAGAATGCGGTCAAAGGGACATTGCACTGTATTATGTTATAAAATATCAATAGTATCATTTTAAAACATGTTTTCGGCTCATATTGACGGGCAGGCACATTTTCAAGGGATGTAGAGTTCCAAAATTTGCATAGTCGCATATCCACATTATGACATATTAGCACAACACGTGATGGACGTAAAATATTATGATTAATATTTCTGCACAGGCGGTCCTTGTTGCTATTAGGAAATCATTGACACGTAAGGATGTGCTAGATGTAACGCATGAAATGCTTGAAAGGCTGGAGGCTCATTTGCGTGCTTTGGGGAAACTCTGCAGAGGAAGTAGCTGAGCGCGTACTGAGCCGAAATTCCTTATCAGGGTTGCAGGTACGGACTAAGAGTGTTACTAAACAGTTTAATAGAGCAGAAAACTATCTTACTACCCTTTGACAGATGGATAGTAATCACAGTCCATAAACTGTTAGCTACTCAATTCCCAACTAACTTAGGCATGCCCTGTTCCTATAAATCAATGTATGGGCCCACAGTAAGTCCAGTATTTTGCAAACGATATGGCCAAGTAACTCCTTTAACTCTTAATGCTAAGACATCTGATTTTTTTGAAACACAAGATAAAAAGAGAAAGAGTTTATGAATTAAAATTAAATGAAGAGTTTCAAATGGTATGCTCACTCTTCAAAATTGAACCAGCCTCCTTTAACTCTTAATACTAAGACTTGTGATTATTTTAAAACACAAGATAAAAAGAGACAAGGATTTTATGAATTAAAATTAAATGAAGAGTTTCAAATGGTTGAAACAGACCTTCCAAATCAAACGGAAGGTAATGGACTAGATATTGAGAAGCAATCAGAGTTTGATTGGGAATATGTTTTCAAGATGATGAGACTTATTTAAACAATAAAAAGAATCAGATTTCTAATATTTCTCTGATGAACTTGAAGACAGATCATGTGCTTTTGAAACTGTCACAAATAACATTCAAGGTCATCTTCAAAATCAGTGTCAAATTCAAAATTTTTCTAATGAAGTGGAAAGTATCAGTTCTAAACCTGAAACTGAAGTTGACATTGAAGCTGAAATTGATGAGTCCAAAAGTGCTTTCAAAAGTTTTGGTTTTGAAGAGGAGAGATCACCCAGTATTCAAAATAAAATACACCAAAAAGAGACAAACAAGATTTGTACTGGTGAATTGAATACCCTAGTGAAAATTGAAAAAGAGGAGGATATACTTCATGACCAGGGAGCTGTTTCAAATGGGTCTAGTGTGGCTCATCTTCTTGGAAATATAGAGATTATAGCCAAGCTGCTAGGTGAATCTAGTATTGAAAACAAAATGGCTTTTGAGAAATCAGTTGAGCAAAACATCTTGTTGAAACTCTTTGGAAACATTGAAAAGAACTTCCATAATATTGGAGAAATAAATATTTTAAAAAGGAAGGGGTCTGATAAGTTTCAAGGATCTAGGGCTAAGGGAGAACTGATAAGAGAGCTTGGAGAAGATTGTTGCTTGGGACTTGATAAACTTTTTAGAGAAAAGATTTTATTGTGTTTTCTAAACATGCTGAAAAAGATGAGCAGTTAGTTTTTGAAGAAATCCCACAAGCTCAATATGCCAAGAAAAATACAGTAACGTAGGAGCACCAGATTGAACAACCTGGGTTTTAACTAAGTGTGGGGGAGAACAAATTAATTCTTATTCCATACAGCACATCCCAGTTTCTTTGAATCCTGAGATGATTTCTATTCCTTATTCCCTAAAGAGCTTCATTTTTGGAAAGGAAATGTTTGGTCTTAAGGATTGTATGAATGGTATTTTTATGTTTCTAAATGACGAGTCCACTAGTAAATCTTTGGTTTGGAGGAAATCAAGGCTGCAAACTGACCATGAACACCTGTTTATTGTTAAGACATTTTCAAATGATTTTGATTTCAAACGGACTAAGTTTTCCATCTTTGAAGAATCTGCTGTAACACAAAATTTAGTTCCCTCTATTGAACTCAAAATTATTTCAACAAGAATTAAAGAAGCAACATGATTTGATGCAGATTTAAACCCTTTTCCTAATGATAAAAAGGGACAGACTTTCACTTTATTTGCTTTTGATAAAGCTGCCCTTTTAGGAAATGCAATGATTAAAGATTTTTTGGCTATTGAGCTTAATACTATGAATATGAGGATTAAAGACTGCGAGGTCATTGACTTCAAATTCTGTTTTTAAGGTCAAACTAAAGAGAGGATTTTTTTTTTCAAACAATTCTAAAGGACAAATTTCATTTGTGATAGAACTTGATCCTTTTCCAAAAATTAAAGATGATATTGTTTTAAATCTAGAGAGACAATAGGAAATTTTATTTTTTGTTAATTAAACTACAAGAGCCCACCAACATGCTTTAAGAAATGAAAATCATGTGTGGCACATAGTTATGAATGGCGAGCGCCATACTCGCCTATGGCGGTTATGGCGCTGTGGCGAGGCCGTAACGCCTGGATTAGGCTGTGCATGGCGATGTCCTTGAGGCGATGAAAGGCGTTCGCCATTCTCGCTGCGTCTTATGTAGTTTGGCGAGTGCAATTATCGCCATACAGATCTGTGCAACTTTTTTTCGCTGTTGAGCCTTAAGAATTGAATGGATTAATGAAACTGGGCTTAAGCCCGTTTGTAATTAAATGATTTGATCCGTTGCCTTAAGTCAGTTTATCCATTACCTTAATCGATCGTATTCCCTTCCCCTCTTCCGTCTTCTTCCCCTATCCTCTCGTCCAATCAACCATCGGTTGAGCATCCCAGCTTCGACTCTGCTCCCACTCTCCGAAGTCGCAGGTTCATAGCGTCTCTCCTTCCCAGAGTAGCAACTTCCGATCGTCCCTCCTTGGTCAGCGACTCAGTGCAGCAGCATCAGGCCACTAAGGATATTATTCTTAATTTTTTTAATTTGTGTTTTATTTAATTAATTAATATTAATAGTTACAATTTCTTTAGTCTAATAGTTACCATTATATTTTCAATTTGTGTATTAATCTTTCAATTTACTGTTGAAGACTTTTTTATATGCCCTGCATTATATATATATATATATATATATATATATATATATATATATATATATATATATATATATCTTTCTATACATATAATTGTGAAACTCAGTTAGGTACCCTTTATATTTGCGCACCTTTTCCATCTATAAAAGTTGTACATTGTGCATTGGAGATTGGAGCTGGTACACCGTTAAATATTTCCATTCTTGCTATTACGTCGTTGCTGGCCATATGCGCCCAATTTTGCTCCAGAATTGATTCTCCTCTTTCTATATTAATACCCCCTTAAAATGCGTACTCATTTACTTTCTTTTTGTGAGGCTGGCTTAAGAGCTCTAGGCTCAATCTCTATCACTTAAATTATTAGATTACATATAAGGGGCCGGTTCCCCATTCGTAAAATTGATTGTTTCGACCCCCCTAATCCTCCCCCAGTAAACCCCCCCCACCCCCTTCAAAGTCAAAATTAACTTGGGGGTGCAATTGAAGGGGGTGGGGGTGTGTTCGGGTCGGGGCAGGGTGAGAGGGTTTACAAGGGTCACTGGAGGTAGGAATCGTCAATTTTATGAACGGGGAACTGGAACACCCCTGGGTCATTCCATGACTTTGATTCCCAATGTCATGGGAACGAACCGAGTTAGGGGGTTAGAGAGTGTAATTTAATATTTCCATCACCACCTTAATCTCAACTTTGTTTTGAATGTGGTTTTAGTGTCATACGAGGAAGTATTGACTATTGTGCATAGGTTTTGTTCATCTTTTATTTTTTAAATGTGCTTTTTATTGTGGTTTTCATAAGGGAAGCAAATAACTTTCATACACATTGGGTTGAGCACTAACTTAGCACATCTCCTTCGAGGTATGTGAAATGTTTGAATACCATTTTTTTTGTTCTTCTTGAGTTTAAATAAGCTTTATCATGCTATGAATTCAGCATCATGTCGTGCTATTAGGGCTTAACAATCATGTTCTTTAGTAGGCAACTTTTCTTTAAATTAATTTTTAAAAAATTTGATTGTGTTTAAAAGTATTTTATTATGCCATGGAAGTCAATATTAGTATAATTTTAAAAATTATATGAATTTATAGTTCCAATAATCATCCATATGTATGAAAACCACAAGAATAAGGCGATCAATTTCTGTCAGAGTGAATTAGAGGAGCAAACTGCATATTATAGAATTGTTTTTGTATATTCCAACCATTACCATAGGTAACCAAGGGTTTGGGCGTAGCCTACCCTTTTGAAGAAACGTCTGATCCCCATTTTTCCTTTTCAATTTGAATAGAAAAAGTCAAATGGAATTCTGAATATGAAGGTTACGAACATGTATTTCAACAGTCACTTAGCATGTTCTCTCATGACATTAAAAAACCCTGGCAATTTCTCTTATCATAATCTTTTCATGAACAGTCAATAATGTTGTGTGTTTCTGATAATACAATTCTACACTTAATTTGTTTTTCACTTATTTCAGTATTTCCGTATTCCAGATGTTCGAAGCTGTACAACAGGTCCTTGGCGTCCCATTTGGATCGTACTTTGAGTTGCGTGCTATGCTTGTTTTTAATCTCTGTTTGTGTATTTGCTTAAAATTACATATTCTTTTGAGTTATTGTGGTTTACTAGCATCTAACTTTCATGGTTGTGCTTTGAGAACTAAAAATTCTCAAAATCTAGACAACAAGAATTTACAATTCAAAATGAAATACATTTGGCCAGTCTTTTCCATAGTTGATTCATGAAGACATTGTAGTTAAGATTAAGATCTGGATGACCTTGAAGGGGCATACAAATTGTAAGATTGTACAACACACATGTAGATATTGATAGTAGGATGGGTAGGAGATGAAAGTTTTGAAGTGCAAAGTCAAAGTGCAGCACAAGATATTGTTGTGTGCATAAATTTAAAACAAAGGATGCTATAAACAAAGACAAAACTGCAGCATTGAAGAGCAAAGTCAAAGTGCAGCAAAATACTTCTATAGACCCTTGTTCCTAGATAGCCACTATATTGGAAGAGTTTTCTTCTTAAAAGGTTTGCTTATTGCAATTCTTTGTTCCAAGTTAGAACTCTTCCCGATAATGACACGAGTTATCTTTTCCCTAAATAAGTGTAGTTTCATGCTGGATTGGGATCAATAAAATTTATATTTGGGAAATGGTAGTTCTCTTGTAACCTCCTGTATTGGCCGATTTATAATTTGTGAGTTTTATGAAACCCGGTCTGTCTGCAGAATCACACACTTGTAGATTTCTTTGCTTAGCCTGGTCACTAATTTATCTGCCTTTCTTTTGTATTTGTCCTGGTGAATGGAGTACAACAACAAACTGATGTTTATGATTTCTTTTTGAGTTAATTCGACTTCATGCTCTTTTACTTAGTAGAACCATTATGATTTTTGCAGGCTGTTTGACATCTTCTTGGCAGGGGAATGAAGATCTCATTATAGTTCACGATCCTCTAGAATTTGGAAATTGTCGATCATCTCAAATTGGGAGTAACAATGAGCTCTTTATAGCAAAACATTCAAATTGTGTCATGTTATGTGCATTCCTGTCACCATTAGTATTCTTCCAATAATAATGACGTGCGACTGGAAATACATGTGCGTATCTGCAGAACACACATGTGGGGGAGAACAAATTAATTCTTATTCCATACAGCACACCCCAGTTTCTTTGAATCCTGAGATGATTTCTATTCCTTATTCTTTTTCAAACAATTCTAAAGGACAAATTTCATTTGAGATAGAACTTGATCCTTTTCCAAAAATTAAAGATGATATTGTTTTAAATCTAGAGAGACAATAGGAAATTTTATTTTTTGTTAATTAAACTACAAGAGCCCACCAACATGCTTTAAGAAATGAAAATCATGTGTGGCACATAGTTATGAATGGCGCGCGCCATACTCGCCTATGGCGGTTATGGCGCTGTGGCGAGGCTGTAACGCCTGGAATGAAACTGGGCTTAAGCCCGTTTGTAATTAAATGATTTGATCCGTTGCCTTAAGTCAGTTTATCCATTACCTTAATCGATCGTATTCCCTTCCCCTCTTCCGTCTTCTTCCCCTATCCTCTTGTCCAATCAACCCTCGGTTGAGCTTCCCAACTTCGACTCTGCTCCCACTCTCCGAAGTCGCAGGTTCATAGCGTCTCTCCTTCCCAGAGTAGCAACTTCCGAGCGTCTCTCCTTGGTCAGCGACTCAGTGCAGCAACATCAGGTCACTAAGGATATTATTCTTAATTTTTTTAATTTGTGTATTATTTAATTAATTAATTAATATTAATAGTTACAATGTCTTTAGTCTAATAGTTACCATTATATTTTCAATTTGTGTATTAATCTTTCAATTTACTGTTGAAGACTTTTTTATATGCCCTGCATTATATATATATATATATATATATATATATATATATATATATATATATATATATATATATATATATATATATATATATATATATATATATATATATATATATATATATATATATATATCTTTCTATACATATAATTGTGAAACCCAGTTAGGTACCCTTTTTATTTGTGCACCTTTTCCATCTATAAAAGTTGTACATTGTGCATTGGAGATTGGAGCTGGTACACCGTTAAATATTTCCATTCTTGCCATTACGTCGTTGCTGGCCATATACGCCCAATTTTGCTCCAGAATTGATTCTCCTCTTTCTATATTAATACCCCCTTAAAATGCGTACTCATTTAAAGCCTTTAATTTACTTTCTTTTTTATAATGACGCATGCACAGTTTCATATGTGTGTGTTGGAATTGGAGAGATTTCACCCTATCTCCGCCGGGATGGATTTCAGGTGATTCTCCAAAATTTGCGCTAGCTCCCCCAAATATGCGAAGTCATAAATTTTTCTCCCGTTCAGTATTGTTGCGATCTGCAATGGATGTGGTTATTATATCAGATGTCTTCCTCCTTGCCGCAGCTCCTTGTCCCAGACTGGCATACTGTGAAGCTGAGATTGCACTAAATTAGCACATCTGCTTGCAGGTCTGTGAAATGTTTGGATATCATTTTTATAGCCTTTTCCTGAATTTCATTAAGCTTTTCCATGCTGTAAATCCAGCATACTCACATATTATTAGGGTTTAGCAATCATGCTGCTGTGTTCTTCAGTAGTCATTTTTCCTTTAAATTGATTTTTAAGATATTGCGTTAAAAATTATTGTATTCTGTCCTGGCAGTCAGTATGAGTATAAGTTTAAAAATTAGAGGAATTTATACTTGGAACATTAAACCATTTCTCAAAATTTTAGGCTCCCAACTTTGAAGTAATAACTTATTTATTGAATAAAAAAATTTACCAAGCTTCACGTGGTCAGCACCATAACCTATTTTCTTATCATTTAATAAAAAATATTTTTTAAAAAATAACCCAGCTTTTTAAATCTATAGGAGTTATCTGTGAGGCTGGCTTAAGAGCTCTTGGCTCAATCTCTATCACTTAAATTATTAGATTACATATAAGGGGCCGGTTCCCCCTTCGTAAAATTGACGGTTTCTACCCCCCTAATCCTCCTCTCCCCCCCCCCCCCCAGTAAACCCCCCTCCACCCCCTTCAAAGTCAAAATTAACTTGGGGGTGCAATTGAAGGGGGTGGGGGTGTGTTCGGGTCGGGGGAGGGTGAGAGGGTTTACTGGTCAGAGGAGGTAGGAATCGTCAATTTTATGAACGGGGAACTGGAACACCCCTGGGTCATTCCGTGACTTTGATTCCCAATGTCATGGGAACCAACCGAGTTAGGGGGTTAGAGAGTGTAATTTAATATCTCCATCACCACCTTAATCTCAACTTTGTTTTGAATGTGGTTTTAGTGTCATACGAGGAAGTATTGACTATTGTGCATAGGTTTTGTTCATCTTTTATTTTTTTAAATGTGCTTTTTATTGTGGTTTTCATAAGGGAAGCAAATAACTTTCATACACATTGGGTTGATGCACTAACTTAGCACATCTCCTTCGAGGTATGTGAAATGTTTGAATACCATTTTTTTTGTTCTTCCTGAATTTAAATAAGCTTTATCATGCTATGAATTCAGCATCATGTCGTGGTATTAGGGCTTAACAATCATGTTCTTTAGTAGGCAACTTTTCTTTAAATTAATTTTTTAAAAATTTGATTGTGTTTAAAAGTATTTTATTATGCCATGGAAGTCAATATTAGTATAATTTTAAAAATTATATGAATTTATAGTTCCAATAATCATCCATATGTATGAAAACCACAAGAATAAGGCGATCAATTTCTGTCAGAGTGAAATAGAGGAGCAAACTGCATATTATAGAATTGTTTTTGTATATTCCTTTAGTCTCAGACAACCGTTACCATAGGTAACCATGGGTTTGGGCGTAGCCTACCCTTTTGAAGAAATCGTCTGATCCCCATTTCTCCTTTTCAATTAGGAATGACTTAAGACGTAGTGCTGGAGATTAGGGGTGTTCATCGGTCTAAAACCGAACCGGATCGGACCGAAGACCGAAATACTCCAAAATCCAGACCAAAGACCGGACCTAAATGATTTTGGTTTTAGACCGGACCGGACCGAAAACAATTGGACCAGGGAGCTGTTTCAAATGACAGTGCATTACTTTACATATTCTAGAAATTTGCTTATTTATGTGATACAAACACTAAAAACTATGGCTTCTTATGTTATTGTTGCTCGCTAGGCTTAAATTAGAGAGCCAATAGTTGCTAAAACACAAGTATCTTTTTGAGGAGCTACTTTAAAATAGAAAACCCAACTCATTGACTCTTGCTTGAAATATTTTGGCATGTTTGAAAAACAACATGGTTCCTGAAATGATAAACCTCTCTGTGAACAAAAAAGGTGATCTTGCTAAGACTGCTAACTTTGGTGATACTTTCGATGTTCCTCTTGCATCGGAAGAGGATGTAAATGGATTGAACTACTAGATAGTTTTACATTACATGGTCCATAAGGAAAATAAGGTTTCTATGAGTGAAAAAGTAGTAGCTCTTGTGGCAGCATCTACCTTTAAAGTGGGTACACAAAAAACTCATATGGGTTACGAACATATGTCCCAAACTTGTCCCTAATTCAGCAAACTCTGAAACTACAGCTTCAAAATACATCTTCCTTACATGTGAACGTGGGAAAAAATATTCTATTCTTTTAGAGGCTACAACAAAGGAAGAAAAAATTGGGTGATGCACATGAAATCCCACCTAAAGGGTCTTCGGATTGCATAGGAAGCATCGCTTTGGGAAATAATGATCCTCAATATGATCCCAAACTAAAAACTAAGGCTCCTTATGTTACTGTAGCTCCGCAGGCTTAAAACAGAAAACCAATAGTTGTTAAAACAGTAAAACATAAGTATCTTTTCAAGAGCAAAAGGCTCATCAACTATGGTAATTATAGGCATCCCAAGAGGATATGTCAAAAAGAGTCAAAGGTCTTGAATACAAGAAGAAAGAACTTTCGGTTGGAGAGGAATCTGAGATACCTTTACTAGGATCAGTCCCATGAAATATTGCAAGCTGTTTTCCCACACCTCACAATGAGGATATAAACACTACATAATTGGAGACCCAAAAAATGATTATCATTGAATACCCGATGCCTATTACCACCCTCCAAATTATGTTTTAGTTGAACTGCACTGACTGGTTTTGACAGGTTCTTGGCATGACCGCATCTCATTCGTGTTCCTCAAGTACTCATGGTCATTAATCTCGAGAAGAAAATTTGGATTGCCAAGCTATGCTCTATATAATTTATTTCATTATATTTCTCATTAGGTTACTTGCATACATTAACATAGAATAATTATATATTTACACATTAGATAAAAGATAATGTAAGAATTTATTAGGTCTGCGATAGAATATCCATTGTCATAGACTATCCATTGCAGAGGCATTTTTAACAATGCTTGAAGTTCTCCTATCGAGAAGTGAAAGTTTAGACTTTTGTTCCTCAGTTCTTGAATTTTAGAGACTTGACTATTTGGATGCTAAATGCATTCGAAAAATGATGATCTTTACCTTAAGGGTATGTTTGGTTCTCTGATTTCGCTAAGGAAATGGGGTTCTTTTTACTATAAAAGTTATTTTATTATGGTTAACGTTACCCATTGAAATGAAAAGGAAAGTCTTCGATTCTAAGAGTGTCTGAATGACACAACTCACGTGTTCAACCATTGTGTTCAGACACAATCTAAAGTCTTCTTTTAAATGAAAGGTAATATGAAAGCAATAGATATATTATAAGCTTCAAATGCACTCCTACTTTGATGATATCTAGACATGTGGCTTACATTATTTTATACATGCATTGAAATTTATACGTTCTATACTTAAGGTACACACATTGTTATTGCAATCATAATCAAAAGTGATGTGTTTCTCGAAAGTTTTCAATATGCACACTTAAAGAGAGGACCAGATCTGACTTATTTCCTAAGTCTTTGAAGGTGTGTTTGGTTCAAAAAAGAAGATTTTCTTCGCCTTTTTATGTTAAATTTGGTTTTCCCTTACTTTTATGAGTACTCGTTGAGATAATTAAAGATACAATGGAAGTAAGTATTTAGTTATGTAATTATGTTATTTATACTGAATGAGTTATGGACCAAAAGTTCAAGATCTCTTCGCATACTGTTTATCCTAAAGGTACCAGATTTTTTCTGGCTTAAACCGTCGCCAGTGTTGCAGTTATGATTAATTGATTTTACTTTTATTAATATAGGTTTATAGAAAGAATGGTACTGTTAGAATGAAACTTTGGTGGGAGCTGTTAGCAAGATTTGAAAAGGTAAGCTGTTAACACATCATGACTAAATTATGAGCAGATAAGATTCTTTATTACGTGCTTAAATTCTAAAGCCAAACTAGACAATTGACGGTCATTTTTGACTCATGTCTAGCACTAATGATTTCAATTATAAGCAGATTTAGATTTCCATGTAAGAGGAATTTATATGTGCACTGCAAATGTGTTTAGCCGGATGATTAAATGATAAAACTCTAAAAGAGTACTTCGATAGACATGGAATTGAAACAAATTATTGTAACTGTTATGTGTTTGTACACCAAAAGCACATACTGTGTTTCCATATACCTAGCTAAAATAGTTACTTTCCATCACTTTATACTGAGGTATTTTCCAGGTCAAAAAAATTGCTAGAACTTTAGGCAACTTGTTTTGTTTTACTCTAATAGCACATGAATTCAAAAGTGAAGCTAGAACTTTAGGCAACTCGTTATGTTTTAAAACCAAGAGTTTTTTTATCATATAACTCACTCACATTTGAGTGGAATATTACTCTATTTGGCTTTTCAAGCAGAGGAAAATACTTCTCTTATTTTATACGAGTGGTTTGAGATTGCAAGGAACCTATGAAACATAGTATCATTCTCTTTTATGGGTTCATATGAAGACAACACAAGACAACAAAATATTTGTAGCATTTAATGAAAGAAAAGTATGCTTAACATGTTATGTTTCATGCAGCTGCTTCCTTTCCTTTCATGTGCTCTACAATTTGGTCAATTGCTGCACGTGCTTTGACAGCATTTTTGAAAATTGGTTCCTGGCATTCAGCACAAGAAAATAATCTCAAGGTCATACTCTTACTCCTACTTGATAACAACGGAAGTTTAATTTCTTTGTTGGTTCTAAGGTTCCTCCTGACCAATTGACCATATGTACTACCTAAAATTATAAAACTTTTAACTTCTATTGATCGGGCAATATTAGTTAGTCTACTGTAACATGATGATCAATTTGGGTTGTCATTATTGTCACAAATTGTTGATGAAAAAGTAACATGATGAGCAAGAATGTTTTTGAGTAAAAATCAGGTGTTTAATACATTTTTTCTAAGATTATGGTTCCAATCCAAACCAGTTCAATCCCGTCTCGTCTTGGTGGTCTCTTTAAGTTGTACCCAACTTTTGGTTTTCCTACAATCTCATAGCTTTTGGTTTCAAAGTGCATCACAAGATATTGTTCTGTGCATAAATTAAAAACGATGGATGTTATAAATAAATACAAAACTGCAGCATTGAAGAGCAAAGTCAAAGTGCAGCACAAGACTTCTAAAGACCCTTATTCCTAGATAGCCACTATACTCGAGTAGTTTTCTGGTTAAAAGGTTTGCTTCTTGCGATTCTTTGGTCCAAGTTACAACTCTTGCCGGATTTGTATGTGCGGGTGCATGTGTATTAATTAACTTTTGTTTATACGAATATGACTCAGTCATGGTTGATGGGTGACACCTCCAATTTGAAAAAAACAATTTGCAAAACAAACATACATCTCGGTATTGACACACCCCAAAAATTTATTTGTGGAATCTGAGTTGGGAAGATTGTCAGGAAGAGAAGATGACTTGTCTCTGGAAAATTATAAACCTAAGTTCACCAATGTGGATCAGGTTCTCATTTATTACTTTTTATATATGCCATGTTGCAGTTAGTGATTTAGTAGTTGTTTTCATTGCTTATATCTTACCTGCATTTGCTTTTTAGGCTAATGACTACGTTAAGGGTAGAGGGATAGATGCATTGCCGGTGTGCATTGGGAATGTCCATGGGAAATACCCTCCAAATGGTGTGAATCTCAGACTTGATTTGCTTAAGGTCAATTCTAATTTGCATCTTTAATCTTTCTTTGTGTTCTACTTCCTTTTACTTCGTACGCAAGTTCTGCACTAATAGTTACCTCATTCATTCCGTCCTATCTGTTAACAGCTATTGTGTTGATACTTGATGTAGAGTTTGACTACAACATTGGCTGCTGTAACACAAAATTTAGTTCCCTCTATTGAACTCAAAATTATTTCAACAAGAATTAAAGAAGCAACATGATTTGATGCAGATTTAAACCCTTTTCCTAATGATAAAAAGGGACAGACTTTCACTTTATTTGCTTTTGATAAAGCTGCCCTTTTAGGAAATGCAATGATTAAAGATTTTTTGGCTATTGAGCTTAATACTATGAATATGAGGATTAAAGACTGCGAGGTCATTGACTTCAAATTCTGTTTTTAAGGTCAAACTAAAGAGAGGATTTTTTTTTTCAAACAATTCTAAAGGACAAATTTCATTTGTGATAGAACTTGATCCTTTTCCAAAAATTAAAGATGATATTGTTTTAAATCTAGAGAGACAATAGGAAATTTTATTTTTTGTTAATTAAACTACAAGAGCCCACCAACATGCTTTAAGAAATGAAAATCATGTGTGGCAGCCACATTGGTTTTAAACCAACAAAAGAGTCTACCCAAAGACATTAAACTGGGAAGCTGATTGGGAGGCAGCCCAAAATTTGTTTTTCTTTGTCTCTTTTATTTTTATGTTTTGTTTTTCTTTGAGTATCCAGTGGTGGTTGTAGGTTTTCCTGGCTATAGGGTTTAAATGAAGGCCTTGCAGGTGTAAAATTGGTGAAACACGGAGTCCCTCTTAACCCTTTTCTCACTTGGTCCCACTCTGTTTTGTGCTCATATGATAATCTCACTCCTATTCTGTCTTGGCTGAATTCTATAACTTGTCCATGTGAAATCTCCATCCCATTCTTTCTTGGCTCACATCTGAGTTTTCATTTAGTTGGACCCCCAACCCCTTCTTTGCTTGACTCTGACATGATGTGGTTATTTTTCATTACACATTCATGCGCTGAGGACATTGCATCATTTAAGTGTGGGGGGGTCCATTATTGGAAGTTTGAAGTCTAAGGTCTAATGGTTGAATTGCTAATTACTGGTTTTAAATTATGTTTTAAATTCTGTTTTGGTATGTTTAAAAAAAACAGATCTTAAATGTGACAGCTTTTGGTCTTAAATGCTGAAATGTTTTCAAAAATTAGTGAGTTTTTAGAGCTTAATGCTTAAGCGACTATTTTCTGAGATTAATGCATCTTGTGACTTATAAAATAGGCGCTGGTCTCTAGTTTGTAAGGGTAGGGTGGAACCTTTTTGGGTTAAGTAGGGTTACTGAAATGAGTGGTGGATGAAATTGGTAAGCTCTTTGGTGTCAATTTCCCGTAACCTTGGTTCTTGTAATGTTCTTACAACCTTGAGAATTGATGATGTGGTGAAGGTTAGTTTCATATAATCAACATCAAACCAAAGTCCTTTTTCAACAAAGAAACAACTCGTTTTTTTCATTACCTGTTTACATGAACTTCTTACAAAAGGAATTTTCTATTACTTGGTTTTATCTTATACTTCGATACTGTTTTTGTTACTTTTTAAAATGTCAACACACACGCCCCCGGGGTGAGTGTTTGTGAGTGTTATACATGTTTTTTATACAAATTCTGGTTTAAAATTTAAGAGAAGTGTTGTTTTTATAAACTTTTTCCGTAGATACGATCCGTTATTTGCTACTATACTACCTTTTTTCCTCAGGTTTTGTACAACTTTGTTTTATCAATGTTCATGTTTCATTATTGGGTACAATACAGAGATAGCCTCATATCTCACCATAGGCAGAAACGTTTGAGGCACTTGAGTAATATTGTTATGTTGTTGATGGCCACTAACGTCCAGGAGAAAGTTGTTGAACTTGAGGCCGTTCAAAAGCTTTAGAAGATATGACTAAAAGTAGTCGCGTTATCATTTTAAGTGGCCTTCAGTGATTGGATGTACTATCATCATGCGATTTATTTTTACGTGTTCTAAAATTTCAATCTGTACTTTTCTATTCTCTCACGTGTATGTTCATCCTAATGATTGCAATTGGCGTAAGAAAAAGACTTTCATAGTAATATTGTGCTACCTGTGTACTTTTTTTAACCTTAAACGTTTTTCATTGTCTTTTTTTCTTTCTATGAAAATTCCCCTCCAACCTTGCAGTATGCTCGATTTTGGTAACTTTAAAAGCTATTCAAAGCAAGTATATTGTACTGGCTAATTTTCGTCCGTTTATCACAGGAAAGGAGATGCAGAACGAATGACTTAAGACGTAGTGCTGGAGATGGGATGCATGAAGTATATTCCAGGTAAGGGCTACATCCACCAAGTCATTCTTGAATGGAAATGGGAGAGGATCACGATGGACTTTGTCATAGGCTTACCCCTATTGAACAAGAAGAACGATGCAGTATGGGTCATAGTGGACCGATTAACTAAGTCGGCTCACTTCCTCCCTATCCGACAAGACTTTTCCTTTTAGAGGTTAGCTGAGCTTTATATTCGAGAAATTGTGAGACTACATGGAGTGTCTTTGTCTTTCATTTCAGATCGCGACCCGCGATTCACATCACAGTTCTAGAAGAGTCTTCAGAAGGCTCTTGGCACTAAGCTCAATTTCAGTACAACGTTTCACCCTCAGACGGATGGCCAGTCCGAGAGAATGATTCAGATCTTGGAAGACATGATAAGAGCTTGTGTCATTGATTTTGGTGATGGTTGGGAACGATATGTACCGTTGATGGAGTTCGCCTACAACAACAACTACCAAGCTAGTATTCAGATGGCACCATACGAGGCACTGTACGGCCAACGTTGCCGAACTCCGGTATGTTGGACCGAGTTGAGTGAACCTAAGCTTGAAGGACCTGACCTTGTTCGTGATGCAGAGGAGAAGGTTCGCATAATACGCGATAGACTACGAGTTGCTTCGGATCGCCAAAGGTCCTACGCTGACCTCAAGCGTAGAGAAATCGAGTATAATGTGGATGATTGAGTGTTTCTCAAGGTTTCTTTGTGGAAGAAGGTGTTGAGGTTTGGGAAGAAAGGAAAGCTAAGCCCTAGATTCATTGGACTGTATCGGGTCATTAAACGAGTAGGACCCGTGGCTTATAGACTAGAGTTACCTCCGGAGTTACAGAAGATTCACGATGTGTACACGGGGATCTAAGAACTGTCGTTCCGAAGGGGACAGGGATCTCACCCACCGAACGAGCAACTCCCGAGTTGGTTTGAGCTTGACCTTCGTTCCGAAGGGGAAGGTCATGACTCTCATAGGCAAGTCGTATACAGTTAAGCTTTAACCTAGCATAGGTTAAGAGCCAAGCACAGAAAGAAAGTAAAGTAAACAAAGAGGTAAGAGCTTGTTATTACATCCCGTATATTATACCTCTTGAGTGGTAGTGTTACTGTTTACGTGCGTTATATCCTGTATGGTGGTGTATGGTAGTCCTTTTTCCTATTTGCTACACGTAGATAATCCAGGAAATGATGAGTTTGGAGCCAATCGCGGAGGGCAATGAGGAGGCTGAGATGTGCGTGGCGGTGTTCGACGACTTTGAACTATTATTATTTATTTAAATAACTTATTACTATTTTGGGCATGATTCCCAAGTTGTGTTTTGAACTATGAATTAAGCTTCCGCAACCGTTTTGAATTACTCTGATGGATATTTAATTGTTGTTTGAGTTAAATGTTTTAAATTGTTTTGAAAAGTTAAGTAGTGTTTGGATACATATTTAGTAGCAACCCGGTTCGCTGACCCGAGTATTCAGGTTATGCGGGTTGGGGTGTTACACATGGTTAGGCCTCCTAGCTATTATAAACCTAGGCATGTGTTCAACCCAAAAGTAGTATGCCATTATTGCAATAGGATAGGACATATAGCTCTCGTGTGCTTTACCAGACATAGGCATTGAACCTATAGTGAAACACACAACATATTTGACACAAACAAAATGAAATCCTTTGGAAAAGGATATTCGTGTTATAAACAATCTCCGCAGGATAATGCAAAAAAGATACCTTACTATTTCTTCTACTTTGACGAAAAGAAGAAAGTTCATATTCCGTTACCGGAACCCACACAAATCTCACCGAGATATCGCACTCCGTTCAGGCAGATTAGAACCCGCCTACTACAAGACGACGGGTTGGCCAAGGTAACTTTTAAACAATCATCTAATCGTGTGTGTGCGTGCGTGTGTGTGTGTGCTTATGGAAACTTTATAGACAAACTTTATAGATCTTATATTTTTGGCTTCTTCTCAGTAATTAATTAATTATCAATTAATTAATCCTGATATGCCTATTTCTGGAGCGTTACAAAATTGCAGCACCAAAGCAGTAATTTGAGGAAAAAAGTAATTCTCTTGTTGTCGCACTCCTTTCTACATTAAACCTTGGGTCATACATTCTGTTTGCATCTCGCCATCTTCTTATTATTTTTTGACTTTATGGTGTGAGATTTATTGATTGTATGACTTTCCAATTTCCTTTGTGTGTAGCGGGACAGTACCTAGCCTGTCCATGTACTTTTTTTCGTTTCAAGGGAAGTGTTTATTTTTTCATGTCCATATAATTATTTGAAACAACAATTATTTGATTGTTGTATAAATTTTTGCCTGAAAGTATGAAAGTAAAGTTAGAGAACGTATACATTTTCATTGTAAAAAAATTTACCGTTTCTTCGAACTTTTAAAATACTTTTAGGCTTAAAAGCTAGACTATTGTTTAAAATGAGTATTCTTAACTTTTAAAATAGTTCTAGGCTTAATACGCACAATTCTTTTAAAAATAGTTTTTTTTAGTTATTATAGATAACCAAGAAAAAAACAGTGTGACACACACTACTAGTAATACACTACGGTTTTTAAAAATTTTGAAAATAGTTCTAGGCTTATTAGTCCAACTATTATTTAAAAAAGGTATTTTTAATTTATTATAGACAACTTGTAATAGGCTACGGATTTAATGAATTTTAAAAATATTTCTATGCTATATAAATATATTATTGTTACAAGAGTGTCTTCTATTCTTATAATAAACATCTGTGCAAAGAAAACCATATGAAACATATAACTAAAAATATATTATTATTTCTTATAAGTTTAAAAATAGTTATAAACTAAAAAAACTAGACTACTGTTTAGAATAGTAGTCTTAACTAATTATTTACAACTGTGGCAATAAAAACTTTATTTTTAGATGCAACAGACTACTACTTTAAAAGTTAAGGATACTCATTTTAAATAGATAACTGCTTCTAATAAGTTTAAAAACAGTTATAGACTAAAAACCCAGACTACTGTTTAAATAGAGTATTCTTAACTTGTTATTGATAACTGTTGTAACAAAAATTGTATTTTGAACTGACACAGACAACTAATGATATATTATTGTTTCTCGAAACTTTAAAAGTAGTTTTAAAGCATAATAGCTAGAGAACTGTTCTACCGGGTCCGTGTATTTGGGTTACGCGGGTCGGGGTATTACAGTACTACCACCCAACGGTAGGCCACTACCACCACGGAACAGTTCACAACTGAATTGCGTTGTGGACGGTACTGAGGTTCACTCACCATACCATGCGATGTTCACTCCCTTTTGTTTATTGTTTGTTCACTTTCAAGACATGGATTGATTTTGAGACCTTATGTGTTGTATGATGGTAAGTGGAAGGTGGTTACACCTAACACTAGGGTGTTAATTGTATTATATGATTGATTATTTGAGTATTGTTATCTTCCTTGATATAATAAAATATAATCTTGATGTGTTTTGAAAGGAAATAACGAATTAAGATTATTGTTGGAATAAATTTGAATATGTAGAGACTACCTAGAGGAACTCTAGGACTGCTCTAGTGTGATTGTAAGTGTGAATATCAATATTAAAACGTATGTACGAGATCCACAAACTGTCATTCCAAAGGGGATATGAGTACCACCCACCTAGCGGAGAATTCATTCGTTGGTAAAATCATGTTGTGTTGTAATATGTTGTGTCTGTTAATAAATAGTCTTAGCCTATAAAAGGTTATGAGCGAGTGTTAGAGATGAACTTAATAAAGATACGAATGTTGAGTTAATAATTGATACAAGCAAACATCAAAGGTAAGTCCACATGATGTGTGGTTATTATTGATATTATTTGATGTTGTTATGTGATACTACTTATTCATGGAATATTATGAGTGAATATGTATAATGAAATAACCCTATGTATGACTTCTACTGTTAGAACCCCTCACTCAGCGTGAAGGTTGAGCATGTAGTTTGTTATACTTGGTACACGTAGATAACAAGAATAACAAATAAGGAGACCATCCTGGAGGGAAATGAAGACAAGGAGATGGATGGATGCTGGCTCAGGAGTTATTTGATTTAATGTTATATTTTGGATTTATTATGTTTTTGGGAAGGAATCCAAAGTTGTGTTTGAATTAAGTACTTTAAGCTTCCGCACCATTTTGTTAACTCCGTTAGATGTTTTAAATATTATTTTTGAATTAAATGTTTAAATTGTTTTGAAAACTATTTTGTTTGGATGCGAACTTTGGTGACAACCTGATCCACTAGTCCTTGTATTCGGATCACGCGGGTCGAGGTGCTATAGACTGTGTCATTTGCACCGATGTCCTCCATGGTAAATAAGCGTGTGGTAGTAATTGAAGGTATTCGACGATAAGATGCAATATACCAGGGTTGACAACGACAGAATCAACAAAGGAGAACGAAAAGCAGAATAGTTTTGAGGGGAGAAGGCGTATTGTTTCCGAAGATTGGTCGGGGGGTTTAGGATCGGCTAGGCCTTCAAACGACACTGTTTTGCCCCTTTGAAAATCATTATCTCCCTTCGACGACAATTGAACGATTGATCATTAATTTTAATATTTTTATTAAATTTTTTAAGTAAAAATCACAAACAGTGACATTTTGTTGCTTGGTTGGAACCAACACGCTTCACATGGTTCTTTGTTAGATCTACGAGGGCATTTGTATAAATCCTAACCTTTTTCTACCCTTTTCCATAAATTCTTTGAAGCCAACAGGTTGCAAGAGGGGTAACATAGTCCATTCACTCTCTTTTTTTAAAAAAGAGAATATAATTTTAAAACGGAGAAAAAAGAGAAGTGATAAAAATGTTTTAGGAGGGAGGGAGTATCAAAATTGCTGTGCCACCAAACAGTTCTATTGGGGGCCACCGGCCACGCATAAGATTTGGGAGCCACACATATTTTACCGTGTAATTTTTTTTAAATGACCCGCATATTTT